CATTTCATAATTTAAAAGTTTAGTTCAGAAGTATCGAATCGGTATCGATATCGACGATACTGCCTTGAAAAATATTGTTATCGTATCGAAAACAAAATAAGTGGTATCGCCCATACCTACGTGCCATATATATTATTATTATTATTATTATTATTATGATTATTATTATGTGCATCCCTACTTACATCCCCTCCTTGTTTACAAATCCAACGTAAGTCCATACATCCGATTTAAACGCGGACGGGGCTTTCCTGATAACTTTCCGCTTTCTCTTTATTTTACTAACTTACTGCATGCTGAAGGTGACCCAGCTGACCTCACCAGAAAAAAACTCAACACCACCATCTAGTGGACTGTGAAGAAATTGATTTTATTATTCTACCAAATAGTATAATAAAAGATCGATACTTTGCGTCCGTGTATCAATACAGTATTGCCACGGAAAATATCGCGATACTATGCTGTATCGATTTTCCCCCACCCCTATCAGCTACAGCTCTGCACAGTTCAATAACGAGGCAGTTTTATTCCTAATAAGAATATTTAATGTTGTCAGCCACTTTAACATTGTAAATACACGGTTTGAACTGCACTGTGCATACAGGTATAAAAAAAACAAACAAAAAAAACTTAAATGATTAAATTAAAATGTGTTGTAGGGATGTGCCGATACGAGTATCGGTACCGAACGGTTCACGGGGCAAATTCCAAATGGAAGTGATCATCCCTATCCCCTTGGAGTTTGGTAGGGCAGAGCCCTTGAAGTGGGGACTTTGGAGTGAGCAGGGCAAGTGCGTGCCATTATGAAGCCGTTTGGAATGCACTTGGCAAATACCTTGACTATTAAATGGTTTGAATTATTAATATAATAAGTATCCACACTCATATTTCAGCACATGGCAGTAGGCATGAACAATAATGCTTTACACATGTAAAAACATAAAACTGCCCCCAAAAAATTCACAGAAACTGCAGCGTAGTTACAATTGTAGTTACAATATTGCAATTATGGTGTGTACTTACAAAAGTGTACTTACAAATGTAAGTACACTACTGTAACTACAGAGAGATCAAGCAGGTACTTAAAATGTAAGTACAATGTAAATACAGGTAGGTACAGCATAAGTACATTGTATCAAATGCTTAATTTGCCATGTAAGTACATAGTTGTTAAGGCCACTTAATATAAAGTGGGACCAGTAGATTCAAATTAGGGGTGGGAATCACCAGAGGCCTCACGATACGATATTATCACGATACTTGTGTCACAATACAATATTATTGCGATTTTAAATATATTGCGATATGCTGCAATTTATTACCTTTTTTCCAACTTCAAATTATGTCCCCAAACGAAAACTTTGGCAACATCTGTTTTAACTAAAAAAGAAACATTTCTCTTATTGCTGCGGAAAATATCGCGATACTATGCTGTATCGATTTTTTCCCCCACCCCCTACACATACACACACATACACAACAAAGGGAAATCTAACCTTTAGCACAATCGAAATCACACACATTTCCTCTCTAGCAATACATAAGAGCCACCATTCAAAAAAAACTAGAAGTTCTTCCTGCTACCTAAACAACAGGCTCTTGAGCGACCCTTTTGAAGAGTGCTGTTTGGAAGACTTCCTGGGAAAATTCTCAAGACATTTTTCTTTGCCGTCTTGGCGGAGGCTCCTGGATTTACTTGGCTGATTATAAAAACAGCTCAAATTGGTCAGAGAGACAACATGATAATGTCTGACGTTTATCAAGAATCATGAGCTCTATTAGCTGGGAATTTATAAACGTATGATGGCAAGTTCAACACACAGCTGCATGTCACACATGCCAATATCTGCAGGAGGAGAATTTGTTGTTGTTGTTGTTCTTAATGCTCAGTTCTTGTAGCTCAACTTGGCACTATCAACATCATCCGCACACATTATATACATATTGATAAAATACTTACTGTAAGTCTGCCCGTGTCAAATGCATAAACATAAAATGGTGTTCTACATGATTAAATGCCGGAACAGAAAGGCTTAATCTGACTGAAACCCTTTTTTTTTTTACCCAGTATGAGTCAGTTTACTGTTAACAAGGTCAGCTGAGGTCGAGTAAACGAAACTCTGGAGGGTGCTAAGGACGCATGATTGGTATTATATTGTTTTCACTATGAATCTGTGTGCTTAAGCTGAAGTGTGCCATTTCTGTACCACTTGTGGCACTGAAGGGAACTGTATGAACAGTGACTAATAATTATAAATAATTATTTATAATTATTTATTGGGGGAAAGACTGGGAAAGTATATTACACTGAAAAAAGGACATACTTCAGCTCTGAGAAGAGGAATGAATGCACCATGAAGGAGATAATAGTGGGGCCTCTGCTACTGTATTACAGATGCATTCCTGGTGCCCTGACTACACATGACTCAACACTGACCTTGATACTAATCAGGTTAATTTTTTACTTTGGGCGCAGAAGAAAAAATCGTTTAGGTCTCCTTGATTGTACAACATAACATTGCAGCTTTTTAGGCCGAGTTATTCCACATGATGAGCAAAACATCTTATATCATCTTGGTGACACTTAAGACAATATGATCTCAACACTCTTTCAGATCCTTCAAAGATTTTTGACAGTCAGTTTGCTCAAACATGGCAAACATACTGACTTAAAAACATTTGTGAGGATCAGAGAATTAGATAATGACTAGGGCTGGGTTTTGACAAATTTCACGATTTGATTAGATTCTCATTCACAAGCTTTCGATTCGATTACCAATTCGATTCGATATCGATTATTTGGGATATATATCAGGTACAGTACTTGCCAAATTTTCTCAAGGAAAAAAAATCTCTCAACTAATGCTGCAAAATATACATGAGAGTCAGTTGGTACTACATTACTAAATTATTGAAGGTTAAAATTGACTGATTTGTAAGCTATAGTATACAACTGTTAAAATTACACAATGAAGTTTTTAAAATAATAAAGTTACAATTGCATAATAATATTTCTACTTCAATTCGGTTTTTTTTTTTAAATATAAAAATTTAAATGGTGGCTGTCATAAAAAATGATGGATTTATTCAAACATAAATTAAACATTAGAACAGTAAAAATTATAATGAATGTTATGTGGTACATATATTTAGCAAAATACCCCTCTCTACAGTTTATGATAATGTTACTGCTTTTACAGTATTTTTGACCAAATAAAAGCAGCCTGGGCAAGCATAAGATACTTCTTTCAACTACATTAAAAAAATCTTACAGACCACACCTCAAACGTTTTGAACAAAAGTTAACATAATAATAATAATAATAATAATAATAATAACAAAATAAAATAAATTAATAATATTGACATTGATACCTTTAGTGTGCTGTTCTTTACCTGCTTGCATAGTAAAAATCATGAAAAAGTTGTATCTTCCTCACTAAAGCCATAGACATTCAGACAGCATCTTAATAGCTGTAGCATCACATCTAATGTTGTTTTGAGCATCTCACCATATGTTTTAAGACAAAGTGTCATGAATTTTTTTAATCAAGTCTTGAGTCTCTGCATTCTGTTCCATTCAGCAATTCAGCGACACGTCTTATGTAAAACAACCCCTATGAAATGCATCCAGACTCAGCTGAACCTGAAACCAGCCAAATTATAAAGGACCTCATTAAGACCTATAAACTAACTAGCCGATTTTGAAAATAAGTAGCTTTATACATCGGTATCGTGCCAATCTATGCCGTGTCTATTGCTCAGACGGAGAGATGCTATTATATGGAACAATCACTGACAATCTCAACCATTTGCAGTAGATTACCTTGATTATCCACAGAATAATGCACATAGCTCTCTCATGAAAAGCCAAACAATAGTAGCTTTCTTTTTCCAAATGCTGTCATGTAAATTTCCATTTAACCTAAGCTTGGTAAACAAAGCTTCAGGTAGCCAGTAAAAGCTATTCAAAATAAGCTAAACCTATATCCGCTCAGAATTATATCCACCTCTCAGAGTCGAGCAGCAAGCTGCAGAACCTGGAATGAAGTTTCCTCTGCATATGTTGTGAGTCTCCAGTCCTAAGCATGCCATGCTGTCTGCCCGTCCTGCCGTAAGCTCAGAGTATCTCAACGTGGGCTCCTGACAGCACCAGAGTTTTGTTAAAAAAGCACAAGGACCCTGTTCTTCAGAGCAATCCATTCACTGTTAGCAGCTCCAGTGAAACTGGGACTCCCACAGAGGAGATAACATCTCTGCTCCACCAGCAGACAGAGAGGAGGGAGCAGAAAAACCAGACCGGCCATGGTTAACCCCTCCCTGCCATTGGAAGTTCATATCTAGATCATTAAAAAGGGCTCCTTTTTATATTTTAGAAGAACGATGAACTTTCTCTGTATGGACGAGTGGATCAGTGGATTTGAGACCAGAAAGAAAAAAGAAAAAAAATTCTCAATTGAAACAACCCTCCTCTTCATCAATAAGGTAAACATCTTGTTTGACAGACAGCCAGAGGATGAGTAACTGACACTGGCCATGCTCGGCCAAAGTCGTTTACATTTCCACTCGCTGTGACGGTGTGACCTCAGCATAGCTAGAGACCTAGAGGAGCAGCCTTCACAGAGCTGCGAGCCACCGCATGCAGACAGCGCTGTCCTGTGACCTTTCACATGTCAATCAAAAGACTGCGCCCAAACTAAGAGGCAAAGAAATGTCAGGATTCTGGAGGAATCACAGAAATAAAATGTTATCTAATCACCTGGAAATAGAGGCAAAACTAATCAGGATGTGGCGTGAATTGAACTAGGCAGCGAACTCAGAGAGCCAAAATTAAATAGCTGAATTTATGAAGGCTGTGATTACAACCGGGCAACCAAAACAAATACCATTCCAGAACATGGGCAAATTTTAAATCAATAAATACAATAAATAATAAATTCAATAAATTCACCAAAAATGGGCAAAGAAATCTGACTGATGGTGAAGATTTAGCCAAGAGGGACATCTAAATCAGATATCGCCTGCGATTTTGGATTTTGTTGAAGGACAAACAACTTAGTACCTCTCTGTATTTTTTAGACAAAGTCTCAGAAGCCAGCCGTTTCTCACATCAGATGTGTCAAGCATAAACTATGCTTTTCTGACCTGTCGGTTAACTACTAGTCTAGCATCTTCACTGGCTGACTGTTATATTCACATTATTGTCAAAAAATTCTAGACTATTTTGTCTACAGTACTGTATAACAGTTTGGGGCCAGTAAAATACTTTTATTCAGCAAGGATGTATTAAAGGGGTCATATGATGCGATTTCAATTTTTTCTTTCTCTTTGAAGTGTTACAAGCTCTTGGTGCATAAGAAGATCTGTAAAGTTGCAAAGACTAAAGTCTCAAATCCAAAGAGATATTCTTTATAAAAGTTAAGAGTCAGCCACGCCTACCTAAAACGGCTCGTTCTAACACGCCCCCACATGTCTACGTCACGATGTGGGAAGATTTGCATAACGCCGCCCAAATGTTCACGCAAAGAAAGAAGGCATAACTTTTATTCTCACTGTAGTATTGTTGCTGCCGCCATGTCGTGAAGACACTGTGTTTCATTGTGAAAGCGAAACTACTTTGTTTGGCCTTCCAAAAGAGGACGATATCCGCTTCGTCATGCCTAGAGCTGATCCGTGAAATTTTCATTACACCAAATACACAAAATAATGTTCTTTTTAGCAACATCATATGACCCCTTTAAACTGATAAAAAAGTGACAGTAAAACATTTATTATTTTACAAAAGATTCATATTTTAAATAAATGCTGCTCATTTGAACTTTCTATTCATCAAAGAATCCTGAAAAATGTATTATGAAAAATATTAAGCAGAACAAATATTTTCACCTGTGATAATTAAGATTTCTGAAAGATTATGTGATATTTAATTTTTTTTTAATATACTAAAATAGAAAGTTATTTTAAATTATAATAATATTTCACAATATGGTTGGTTTTACTGTATGATCAAATAAATGCAGACTTGGTGAGCATAAGAGACATCTTTTAAAAACATTTAAAAATCCTACCGACCCCAAACTTCTGAACAAGTGTATTACAAATAAAACAATAAAGTGAATTTAGACAAGTGAATGAATTTAGGCATTAACACTTTGATTTTTAATGATAATTAGGATTTAAACTTTATATGAGTGTTAGATGATGGTAATCTAAAAGTTAAAATCATCATGCACAATGAAATATCCAATATCAGCCAATATATATTCAATAATAGTCAATACCTGATGGTAATGATATATTGCGCATCACTAATTAATTTAAATGACTCAAATCCATCAATTACTATTCAGCATCATTAAGGGTGTAACGATATTCAAACTGAACCGAAAAACCGTGATACAACACCCACGGTACGTACCGCGATACACTCTTGGCCTAACGTTACCCCTCCCCCTGCTGAGACACTTCAAACGCGTACAGCCATGATGGTTTTGAATTGCTTGAATCACTTTGAAAGGGAAGGTACCATTAAGGGCTACATGTGCAGAACAAATCTGTCATATAGGCTACATAAAATTATAATGAGAACACGACTGTAAAAGAATAGGCCATGTTTCAGTGCGTTGTTATGGAAAGAATGCATCCACAGAGTTATATCTTCATGACAGTCAAGTTTGCTTGTTCAGCCACTCACAAACTTTTTTTGGAACTGTAAGTTGCAATATTTTGTATATAATAAATATATACGTAATATATATATACATATACACATACATATCTCCTATAAGATGCATTTGGTTGAGTTACGCTGCAGTAAAGCGCTTTTCATTGTAGGCCTACGGTGACGAGCAGCACAAACAACAATGTAGAATATTAATAACTATGACTGGGATTGGCATATACATAACATATACATAACATTATAATGAGATCACTATTATAATAAAACGCTGTGAATTTTTAGAGTTTAGTTGCTGTGTTTATTACTATAAAAAATCAAAACGACGGTGGGGGTCGGTGGGCAAGTGACGTAACCGGTGTTGCGGCTTAACAACGGTATCACCGTCAGCACCGTCTATCGTGGCAAGCCTACCGGCTATTCCATTTTATTTATTCACGGTACATGCATTTTTATATGTAGCCTAAGTAATGATGTCAGATGACTTGTTTGCATTATTTAGGCATTATTTAATTTTATTTAAAAAATTTTAAGGCAATAGATTTTTAGGTAACACTTAAGAAAGCAACACATTTTAAAGTCTTGTTTGTTTATGCATTAATTAACATGAACTAACAGAGTAATTATTGTTATTATTATTGAGTTAAAAGTAAAACTAGTGTTCTTTAGCATTGCTGGTGTCATGCCATGAACCCTACCCCCACAGCAAACAGAACAGAACAGAACCGTGGCTCAAAAACCATGATATGATCCCAACCGTGGCATTGGTATATCGTTACACCCTTAAGCATCATAGCAAGTGACATACCATTTTTGCGCTCGTTGAGAGGGGGCAGCCTCTGGCTGGGGTGCAGGGACAGTTCACCCATCTCATGGGTTACAGCCTCACTCTGTGGGCTGGGCGCCAACAAACCCCCAATCCCAGCATCCCCCTGGACCTCCATGTCTCCTCAGTGAGGAGTCAAGGGTTTGCTGGGGATCAGCAGACGATATGGTCACAGGAAGCTCCTCACAGTTTCTGCAAAAGACAAAGTCGGTATAGATTCAGGTGAAGAAAAAAAGTAAACAGCAAAGGAATTTGGTCCAAGGCTGGCAGACTGTGTATTAGCAATACTTGAAATCATAAGTGAAATGGGGAGTTTGGGAATGATGTAATAGGTCATGGATGTGGTAGGGTCTGCAATATCACTTTAGCCATGCAAAACCACCAAAAACACAGGATGTACTGAATCTATGGCATGTACAGTTGCTGCTGTTGCACATCTATCAAAGCACAAACAAATAATAAAAACGAGCCTTTCCACAGACGGTGAATGAATAGACGTTGTGTTTGCTAGTCTGTCATTACTCAACTTTACATCATCCCAGTGGTTTAGATGTGAAACCAATAAAGATATAAACACAGCGCTCACCATGGTGCTGTAAAATGCTAGAATACACTATGACCACATCAGCACAAACCACAATCATTCATTTCCATGAAACACTCGCCTTTCAAAACCTCCTGTCACATGGGAACAGAGAGGCTAATTTTTCTGTTGCTAATTTTACAAATTTTCAATTCAGCAACTGATCTCAAACAAAATGTAGAAATATTTCAGCACAAGTGGACAGTGATGGATTTTGTTTAACTAACAAACTCTATTTTGACAATGATGGATTCTGCTTCCAAAAAAAAATAAATAAATAAAATAATAGAATGGATTTTTTCCCTCTTCCTCTGGTATTCAACCCTCTCTGAGCCACCCCACACCCCATCCTGCCCCCCGGAAAAAAGGCAAAAAATGGACTCTTTTAGCTGCCTGTAACATTGGATTCAGCATTTCAAAGGAAAGGGCAGGTTTTTAAATGCAAATTCCAGCTGTTTGTACTGGGTTATCAATGACTCAGGCCATTTACACAAAAATAGTTGAGTACAACATTGTGGGACATGTGGTCTCTGACCTATTAAAGATCCCAAAGCATGTTTTGATATGGAGATGGACAGTATTGGAAGAAAACTGCATGGCCTGATATTACCTCAGAGTGAAGACAACATTAGCAGCGTCTACTTATTAACCAGTCCCTCCAGGTTTTTGCGATTCTTTGATCGCTGAATATGATGCAAAATTAACAAAATGTTGCTTTTTTTGCATACCTGCATAATTTGCCACTTAAACACATAATAACTGCCAAAAGTGTCATACTAGTACTACCTAAAGTTAGAGTGACACAACTGAGTGATAAAGAAACATGTATGAATGAGGAAGTAAAGTGTGGTGCACATAAAGTGGTGCACTTTTTATTTAAAAATATAATAGTATTATCACACTTTATTATTTTGTTTATTATTTGATTTTTAAAAAACTAAATAAATAAAGTGCAAGAATATTCTTAGTACTATAATTATTTTTTTTATAGTTATATTTAATAGGTCACACACTATACTGTATGTGCAGTGTGAGCACCAAACCAAATCTCCAGGTGCTCTCATGAGAACCAGACTGAAAAACTTATGTGCAGCCCTGGTTATTAAGCTCAATAATCCATAAAAAAAAAAGAGCACAATCAGTGTGCAGTCCTGAACTGACTTCTCAGTTTATCATGTTTAAACGGTCAAATACACACAAAGTTGTGACAAAATGCCTGTCTTGGTCAGTATTCATGTAAACACATTCAGTTTTGTCTTAAAAAAAATAGAAAATCCCTCACTGCTCTAAACAGAACATGTAACTTGTAAACTGAATAATAGTAGTTTAAAAAAAGATCAGTGTATTTATGAACACAGTGAAAAGTTTTTTTTTTTGTTTAATTTCTGTAGTGTTTTGTACTAGAATATACTGTTTGTACCTGAGCTTCAAGCACTCATTTCTATCTTTGTCTTATCCTAAGTATCCATAATGAGCAATGGCCCAAACCAAGATAACCAATCAGGGATTTGAACATAACATACTGCAAACAAACACTCGTGCACAAAAGCATGCAGCTACAATACTACCAGGCCAAGCCTCATAATGTATTCTTACATAACACACCAGCAAATGTCATCTACTTTATTTTTGAATTTCTAACATTCTCTACACTATAAGATCTTTTGGTTGATAGTCAACACAATACACAAATGTTTATGTTTTGAAGGGCAGTGTGCACACTGTATGTGTAATGAAGTCTGCTATTAGTCCTTCATAGTCACTGTTGCTAGGATACAGCAGCCTCCCACACAAATAAACTCAAGCTGCTGGAGCTCTGCCTCTCTCAGCAGTACACTGTTTAACGATCACTCATACAGGACAGGGTCAAATGTAAACTTGCATACACTGAAAAGTTTAAAGGTCCCATATTGTCAAAACTGAAATTTCCTGGCTTTTTTCATGATAACAGAGGTCTAGGTTCTATGTAACTATCATATAAGTTTCAAAACAGTCAGTACACAGTAAAATTCACACAGCCTGCATAAAGTAACTGTGATTTTTCACGAACCACTGTGACTTCCGTAAAAAGTTGACGTCAGAACTACACAGTCACCGCCTTCAGTCACCACCCCAAGGCACCACCCCGAGCACCGCCCACCGTCCCACTCTCCTTTTGCCAAACCCCCAGACAACATCGCGTCCATGCTTTTGCTGAGCTAGGACAACACGATAACATGTCGAAAAGGTTAACTTTAACCACCAGATCGGCCGACCTGTAACGTTACACTCTCACTCAAAGGATGGACGATCTGACAGGATTGTTACTATGAGGTGGATCACATCTAACGTGTATAGTAAAGACAAATTCACCGTGTCTATCTAGTCATGATGAAGATGTATATATATTTCAATTTCAGCAGGCAACTATTTTTACAGCTACACTATTGTTCCAGCCACAATTAATCAAAACAATGTATATACAATTACAAATGATTATATATAAATCGTCAGTTTGTTGTTTTACACACATGCACACAGACATTATTTCATACACGACATAGTCGTGAGATGCAAGAAACATAGACATATGGCAAGAAATCTGTAGACGCGCCCATAACAACAAAAGACAATACTTTATTGAACCTTTTCTGATAAGAAGTGTGCGCTGCAAACGTGAGCATTTTTGACGATCCTTTCTGTCCAGTCTGCTCGTTTTATCGCGTTTAACCACAGCTGTCGTCAGTTTTTTGTCTGGCAGTGGCAGCAGATATGCGATCAAATTTCTAATTTGAGGCTGTATTACGTCGATTCTGGCACCCAACATCACAACAAGATGATATTTTAAGCTCATGTAGCCAAATCTGC